GTAAAATTTGCTTTTAGACTACCTTGATATCATTTTCCGAAAGCTGCCATGCTATTGTGTTACCTGGCGATGTCAAATCAATGTCAGTCCCTGTTCAAACACCAGTTGTGCAAAGCACGTCAGAGTAGCTGGTGGCCTGGCAGATTTCATCACTGTCTCTCTGGGCACCAAAACTAGAGCTGGACACCTAATCGTGGTGCCTCGTGACTTACAAAAAAATAAATAGAGAAAAGATACAGATTATCCTTAGGGATAAATCACAGGCCATTTCATTTAATAACTCAGTAATAAAAAGTGTTTGTTACAGTATGCAAATCATAGAGCTTCATTCACTCACTCACTCATTGGCTATGGGTACTGAGTTCCTAGTGTCAGATGCTATGGCAAATGGTGGGAACACAGATCAGAATAACAGAGACTGGCTGTCGAGGGACCCAGAGTCTAATGGGGGCCAAACAATGTATTATGATCTATTTCTGGAGCCCAGTTTAATCATGGGACGGAATGAGGAGAGCTTTGGAATCCCGTCTACCTGAGTCCTAATTCAAATCCCACCTCTTGCAAGCCACGGAACTCAGTCCCTGTTTTCTCATCTGAAAAGCAAGGGTAAAAACATCCATCTCCCAGGGTGCTTGTTAAGTACTAAATTCCATGTCCAAAACATGCTGGTTCTCTTTTTCCAGCCTTCATTGAGCTCTCCACCTCCACCCCACGTCCCCAGCCTACCAAGAGAAAAGATAACTGGAGTCGGGAAGGGTTTCATTCACTTAAGTGGTGATATGTGAGCTGGGACTAGAAAGATGAGCAAAAGGTGAAGTTGACAGGCAGAGTCAGTGGCAAGGGCTTCCAGAAAGTGGACAGAATACACTCAAAGGCATGAAGGCATGGAAGACCATGGTGTTGGGGAGCCAGGGGGAAGTGAGCAGTTTAGAAGATGGGTTGTATAGATGGCTGTAGTTGATTTGTGCCACGTGTGTCGAGTTGGAAAAGGAAGGTGTTGTGTTTGTTGACTATGACTGTTCAGGTGACTGCATGTAATGCCATTTCCAGACCAGAGAGACGGGAGCTAACGTCCTTGAGGCTGGTGTTGAATGCTGACCACACAGGGCACATTTTGCTCTCTGAACTATCCATATGCAACATGTGGGCTCTGCGCTCCCTTTTCACCCCTGGAGGGGACCCCAGAGTTTATCCCCTGTATCCCAATATTGGAAATGAGACTTGAGTCTCCTGAGAGCCTAGATCTATTCTGATATTTTGTTTTGAGAACAGGTTGCTAGTTATTTCGTCATGTGTGAAACTGAGATGGTGAGTGATCTATTCAGCTATCTTTTTCCTAGTACCAGTAAGAAATTGTAGCCCATTTAGAGAACATAACACTAAAATTCAACCAAATACAATTCCTGGTATTACTCAGTTTCTCACATAAATCCAGCTCAAATTCATAGAAAATAAAGTCATTATACTGACATTAGAATTCATGCAATTATGATAGATAATTGCTTTGATAGTAATTATTTAAAAAAACATAATTTTATGGCTAAGCAGGCTATTCAGTGTTGGCTACATTATAGGCAGGAAAACAGTCATCAGTCTTAAAAGAGAAAATGCTCACAAGAAAAGGAAGGTGAGCTGTGGGAGATACTGAACTTGAAGCCAATGGTTCATGCTCCAGTCTGCCAATTATTAGTTCTGTGTCTTTGGACAAACCACCTAACCTCCCTGAACCTTTGTTTCCTTTCTAATTAAATAGGGAGAATAATAATATTACGGCTAGCTTATTTTAGTATCCGGTGCCATAATACATGTTCAGGTATTTTATAGCCTAAAGCCATTTTAACCAATTTTAATAACTATTAGTTGGAAAAATGATCCTTGTTAAAAGTCTACTATCAAAGAAAAATATTTATACGAAGTCTGCTAAAATCACTGCCATCAAACTTCTCAACAATAGTCCGTAAACCAAGGAATTTGATAGCGCTGTCATGCGGCCTTAAATAATAATTCTGTTCTAATTCCTTCCATCAGACATTCATTTATGCTAAAATCTGGTAATGGGTATACTCTGGATCATCAGCCCTGGGAGATGTTCCTCCAAAATGGGCTCACAGTCGTGGAGAAATATTTCATGCTCCTTAGGGAGATTGATTAAAACCTCTGAGGAATCCCATAAGAACTTTTGACACAATGTTTTTCAAACTTCCTGGAACACAGAGCTCTGTTTTCAAGTATTAGCTTTGGTTCAAAAGACTATTTGGGGGGAATATTTTTCCATATAGACTTTTTTTTTTAAAGATTTTATTTATTTGACAGGGAGAGAGATCACAAGCAGGCAGGGAGGCAGGCAGAGAGAGGAGGAAGCAGGCTCTCCGCAGAGCAGAGAGCCCGATGCGGGGTTCAATCCAGGATGCTGGGATCATGACCTGAGCCGAAGGCAGAAGCTTTAACACACTGAGCCACCCAGGCACCCCTAGACTTTTCTTAAAAAGAAAAGTATTCATGACAAAACTAATAACCATTCCTAGGTTAATGTGCTTTTAGAACAGAGAGCTTTGATGTGCTCATATAATTTTGTGTTAATATATGTGCTAATGTGTTAATACAATTTTAGAACAGACAGCTTTGATCAAGCCAGCTTTGTCAAGATGGTAGTAAATGCTATCTGCTCTGTAAACTTTTTTCTCAATTGCAAACATTTCATTTCCCTCCATCACTAGGTGAGTTTTTAGTACCATCTGAAAATAACTTCAGTCAGGAAAACAATATATCAAGAAGTGCGCTCCATTTTTCAGAAGGAGAAAATGAGTCACAAAGAACTTAGTGATTGGGCCAAGGTCACATAGCTCAAGAGTGGTAGCTCTGAGATTCAAACTTAAGCTAACACCTCCGGAGCCAGTGAATGATCTGATGGTAAATCAAATGTGTTTTACACTGTGGTCCTGCAGATGTATTCATGTTGCTGGTTAGGGCTTCTTCTCATCATTTCAAAGACTGGTATAAGCAGATCTTTGAAGATTGGGTAGATTCAACGGAGCTGTCAGAAGCTCAGGTTTGGGTTGTAGCAGGGAAGATAAAGGGCTGTCAGTTGCCTCATACCATGGAGACTGGAGACATGGCTTTGAGCTCTTCTTTAACTCTAATGGACAGTAGCTGCAAAAGATGATACACTTGAACTTTGTCCGCCACTTCACTGATTCACAGATGAATGCATCTCATTTTACCTCAACACACACCTGATAGCAACAGTTTATATAGATGACTAACCCACTGGGCTCCAGCAAATTAGGCAATGAAACACTGTTTTTTAATCTTTTCTGTACTAGGATATAGATTCCAAGAATTGATTGAACAGTTCATGAAAGAGTTGAGCAGTTGCACAGTTAGTTAACTAGTATCTGTCTTGAATTGCATGACATCATCTTCATTTGTTTTTTTCTGGAATAGCTTTTCATTTTAGAAACCTGAGTTTTGTCTTTAATAAACGTTAGGTTAGGCAGAGAGGAATACACATCTGTCTTGATCTCTCACTAATCGTCTCTCAATCCTACTAACTTTGACACTTCAGTACCTTTGCAAAATATACTTATGTTCATTAAATAAGAATCAATGGGAAGCGTGAGCACAAAAATAATCTGGTTTCAGCAAGTTTAAAGGGACTTAAAAATCATTCTGATGTATTCTAATTTCTCGGAATGGAAACTTCTTATTATGACAAACTATGGAGGTATACAGTAATTGGTCAGGAGGGAGTAATCTGCTTTCATAAAACAGATATTTTTTATTTTTTATGTTTTTAAGGATTTATGTATTTTATATATAGAGAGAGAGTGTGAGAGCACAGGTGTACAAGCAGAGGGAGGGGCAGAGAGAGAGGGAGAGAGAGAATCTTCAAGGAGACTCCCCCTTGAGCCTGGAGCCCTATGTGGGGCTCATCCCAGGACCTGAGCTGAAACCAAGGGCCAGCCACTCAACTGACTGAGCCACACAGATGCCCCCAAACAAGTACTATTTAAATACTGATTTTATTTATATTTAGGCTCCAAAATGGAAACCCCAGTGAAGGTATTTATTGCATCATCCTTCTGTTGAATTTGCATTGTTGGAGGTTTTAGTACAGTTTGATGTGTATGTATGTATGTACATATGCATATGTGTATATTAATGTTGTTTCTTGAGTGTTCTTGATCATTATACATTATCTGGGTAATTGTTATCATTCTATTTTTTGATGTGCTAAGGTGATGCTGGTGTTTTAGTCAATGGGAACTCTAAGTAAGAGAAGATGGTTCTAGGCTTTCATGGAATGATCAAAGAGTGAGACTTAACCTTCTGAATACAGTGATACTGGACAAGCCAGAGTTCAGAAAGCAATTTCTGTTGCCTAGTGAGTTTCCTGAACTGTGTAATCAGTTCTCCATTGGAGAATATTTTTTCCCCAAAGAATGACAAATGAGTATTAAAATAAACAGAGGGTTGTGAACATATTTGTTACACAGGCCTTTTTGAAACAAGAATTTTGCTTAAATCAGAAAATAGTTTTAATATAAACAGGTTTCCTTAAAGTGGTAGGTTAAAGCTTTTAATAAACAGAGTAAAAATTACAGTGCTATTTATTGTATCCTAATTCTTTCTCCATATGTACTGGGAATTATGTTTAAATTGAAGTCTCAGAAAAAAAAATTGCCAAAGATCCCCACTCATGGTTAAATGCTACCAAGTTATCCCCAACTTCACTGATCACAAAGTGACTTTAACCGTGTTTTTCATTTGTACCCCTTCCTCAATTTTTTTTCCTCCTTTATGTCAAGTTTGTGTTTGATAACCCTAAACCTGGTGGCAGTTTAGAATCACCTACCAGAAAGACTATTTTACTGACTTCGAAGTGAAGATCAACACCTATTCCCGCATATAGGGCAGATCCAACAAAGGCCACATTGACATGAAGAGACTTAATTATAGAACCAATAACCAACCAAACAACAACGAAAACCCCAACTCACACCAAGATCCTCTCTGTTGTCGGGGGACCCAGAAAAGAGGGATCAGGGGCTGGCGGCTCCCAGGCTTGGCTCTGGCGGGACAGCTGGACAACTCAGCCCACCTGGGAGGATGCTTTTGTTTACATCTCAGGTTGCCGCCCAACGATTGGTGGCTGGGCTGGAAGGGAGGGTCCGCAGGAAACGCGACACTGAGGATGCTGCCCCCTATCACATGATGGAAATTTCCACTCTTCGGAAAGGCCGAAAAGAAAAGAAAGGAGGGTCTCTCAATCCACCCTTTTCCGATACTTTCCCTGGATCCCAGTCGCAGAGGTAGAAGGCGGCACAGGTGAGTGAAACTTTTCTATTTTCTGCTAGGCTTAGAGACTTGTCAGTGTGCAAACTTGTGGCTGGATCCCAGCCCGGACTGGTGTTTGTGCACTTCTGTGTGCGTGTGCGCACAGGGACATGCACACGTGTGCAGTCTGGTCTCTCAACCGTCTGGGGCTTAGGTTAGGTATTACAGCTTTTTGTAATTTATTTGTTGATTGACCCTAATTCTTCTTGTGGTTTCACAAAGGATCGCGCTTTGGGTGGGTTATTGCAGGCTAATGACCGGGTTGACTAGAAATTAAGGAAACCAGGGCATACGGGGTTAAGGGGACTGACTGGCATGCCAGTCACCTCTCTTTGCAAGAGAGGTGGCTGTGCCAAGGTAGCCCATTCCCGGGAGCGCTGCTCAGCTACCCCTGCCCCCGGTCCCAGATACCCTAGGCACTTGGATTTCCAGTTAGGTGTCCCGGGACCGCCTTCCACAGCCCTGGCCGCGCCACCAGCCTAGCTCGAGTCAGCTTGGGATCTGGATAGGAAAGTGCTACCCAAGTTGCGGGCCCATGTCCTCAGGGCGGGGACATTGGGTGCTGGACCTAAAATAGACCCGCTGTCCCTGACAGCTGGGCTGCCTGGGCCCGGCCAGCACGGTTCCCTGGGTGGGGGGCTGCGGGCCTGGGAGTCCCCAGAGTCTCCTTCAACAGAGGAGGAAGGCGAAAGCTGCGCTGGGTCTGGGGGCCGTGGCGGCGGTGGTGGGAACCCTGAGTCCGAAGTTCCAAGGGAGGCGTCCAGCGCCGTGGGACTGGAAAGCCTGGGGCGCGCTGGAGAGAAGGCAGGGGAAGCGCAGAAACCCGGAGAGGGAAAGGCCAGTGGAGACGAGGGGACGGAGAGGGGGCATCGGAGAGAGGAGACAAGCACAGGGAGGAGGGGAGAAGGCAAAGAGGGGTAAGAGGCTAGAGCGGGAGTGCGTGAGTGTCTGAGGGAAATGGAGATAAGAGAACGAATGAAAGAAGTGAAGAAAGAAGGGAGCCTGGACGCAGGGAGCCCCTTGGGGGGTTGGAGGGGGAGGTGGGAGCTCGTGGGAGTCCGGAGAGGGGAGAGAGGTGAGCGCAGGCACCAACGGGCCCGGCTCTGGGAGCCGCGCAGGGAGTGGCTCTTCGCTGGCCGTGGCACGGGTGGGCGCTGCACCCTGGCCACGGGCAGGGGTGGAGGCTCCAGGGTTGGGGCGGTGGCGCCGGGGTGTGGAGTGCGCCCCGCGGGCTCTCAGCTCCTGTTAGTGATCCAGCAGGGAGAGTGGGGGAGTGTCCCGCCTGGGCCGATAGCCCAGGAGATGCGCACCCGCCTTTTGACTTGGTTAGAGGAAAAGGATGAATTAAACTGGGAAGCTCAACCTGGGAGGCTTGGTCAGTGGTGTGCCAGTGTGTGTACCGGGCAGTAGGTGGGACCTTGAGAGGCTTGGTGAGGACCGGGAGACCCGGAGCCACAGTTCTAAGCACAAGTGTTTAGATACCTGGGCCTAGCCGAACAGGAGGATCTTGATGCCAATTTCTCAGTACAAAACTGCATCTCTACCGGTCTCAGGAGCATCTTAGATCCTGAGAAAAGAGACGGAGCGGTAGCGGCGGCCCAGGAGGTGTAAGCGGACGCCCTCCGAGCGCAGGTCATACCTACACCTTTTCCGTCCGCCCCTCCACCCGCTCCGCCCCCTCCGCACCCGGCTTTTGGCCCGGCTTTCTTTGTTATGCACTTCTGAGTGGCGCAGCCTCTCACTCTTCGGGAAGGGAGGAAGACTAGAGGGCCGGTCTCCCAATTTCCTGGGTTGTTATGTTCATATTTATTTGCTTCCAGGCAGCGCAGACCGAGACGTGGTTTTTTGTTGTTGTTGTTGTTTTGGTTGGTTGGTGGTTGGGTTTTTTTGTTTGTTTGTTTGTTTTTGGTGTAAAATGGTGGTTTATTAAAGCATGGGAACAGGACCCATGGGCAGGAAGAGCTGCTGCCCCGGGTTGAGTCGTTTTGACCGAATTGTCTTATGTTGTGAAAAGAACTTGAGACACCTAGATCACGATTTCCAGGGCCTGGTGGCCAGGGCTCTGGTTTGGGTTTGTTTGGTTAGAGCCTTTTATAGACTTAACTTTGGGGAGAGGTGGGGTTTGGGACATGAGCCCCACTGCAAACTGCCCCTCAAGAATAGGGGCGCCTGGGTGGCTCAGTGGGTTAAAGCCTCTGCCTTCAGCTCAGGTCATGATCTCAGGGTCCTGGGATGGAGCCCTGCATAGGGCTCTTTGCTCAGCGAGGAGCCTGCTTCCTCCTCTCTCTCTCTGCCTGCCTCTCTGCCTACTTGTGATCAAATAAATAAATAAAATCTTTAAAAAAAAGAAAAAGAGTATGGAGATTGGGGAACTCTCACCCGGAACACGAGGAATGCATGTGTGCGCGCGCACGTGTGTAACACAGCTTCTCAGATGCTAATAAATGAATCTACAGAAAATCCATGGTGTGGGTGAAGCTGGTGAGGACAGAGAAACTGAGGGAGAGCAAGTGGACTCTCCAATGCCATGTGTTCAGAGACTAAAGTTCTCACTGGGCCGATTCTATCACAAAACTTTAAGAAGCAGGGAGATTGGTGTAAGGGGATAGATCATTCTCAAGGCCGCTGGGCTGGATGAGCTCTTCTGGCTGAGTATGCAGTACCAGGCGCTCAAGGAAGCTAGTCTGTTCTAGGTGAATGAGCACAGTGGCTCACACCTATATATCAATTACCGTATTTCTTTTATGTTAAATCTTCATAACAGCCTTATGCTATAGACTCTATTATTATACTCATTTTACAGAGCAGGACAGAGACATACACAGTCTGGGGAACACAGAACCTCTTCGGAAGTCCTATGGGGTCATTCGTTATTCTTAAATCCAAATGAACAATTCTCTTTCACTGTGTACTTTACAGGAGCAGGACTGAAAAGGTGACTTTTAGGGACCCAAAGCTGACCATTTGGCCTGTTACAGACTAATCCAATACTAAGAAAGCCAAGACAGGATCATATAGCTATAGACTGAATCCTTGCGGCTCCAGAACTAGTTTTTTTCAATAAGTGACGTTTGAGAAATGCATAGTATGGTAATGGTTACCTCTCGGTTTATCAAATGCTGAGGCCAAGCGTAATAAATACAGCAGCTTTGGCCTTCTGTGTGAAATGTTTTTCTGCTTTTGTGTCATTGTCATTGTTTATTTCCTCAGTGTTTTTCAGGAGTTAATTCCTCTATCTTTCCTCCTCACCTTTGTACTGACTTACTAATATTTTCTAACTATTTTTTTAAAAACTTAAGCCTTACTTTGTTTTTTTTTTAAATTTTTACATATCCAAAGCAATGATTTCTATTTAAAAAAACACACACACAAAAGTTAATGGGATCTATGGCTACTTAGATATTTTTTATATTTATCAAAATAATCTAGTTTTTTAAAAAATATGCTTCATGTATCACAAGGCCATCTTACAAGCCACCACTGCCTTGATGACATCCTGTAGGAAGGGTAAGGAGTGGAAGTAGGAGAAGGGAAAGAGAAAGGAAAGGAGAACTTTCTAAAAGCCAGGTTTTAGCTAAGCCCTTTTCAAATGTGACTCCCATTTAATCTTCACACAAACCTCCATGTTATAGATGTTTGCTATCTCTATTTTACACTGGAGGAAATCGAAGCCCATGGAAATTAAGGAAAGAGCCAAGGGTCACCCAGCTAGTAAATGACAGTGCTTGCATCAGAACTAAGTCCCTTCTATGCCAGAGTTCCTGCTTCCAATAAAGCTGGCAGAAAGAAAGTCAACTAGGAAAACGAAAACTTAAGGAGGAAAGAGGCTTACGAAGATGTTACCCAACAGGGAAGGATGTGCACGATGGGAGAAATGGAACTGCCAAATGTCTTTCGTGTGACTGCTAATCTTCCCCTGGTCTTTCTTCTACTATTTTTGTAATGACCTAATTCCATTCATTCATTCCAGAAACAATCACTGACTATCATTATCTTCCAGGAACCCTGGTAGGGAGTCTCTTTTTATCCCTGTTTCCCTAACACCTACCGCAGTCCTGGGCAAATACTAGGTGCCCAAGAAATGGTTGTTGAATAAATGAATTAGTCTAGGGGAAGGAAAGAATAAGCAAGCAAACAGGCATACTAACAGCATGTTGAGAGCCAGGAAGAATTCAGACTTGAGCATGCCACCACTGAAGCTGGCTCAGGAAAGGGGTCAGAGAACATTTCAAGACTAGGTAATGAAGCAGAAATAAAAGTAAGCAGGAGAGAATTCCCAACAGAGACTGGCCTGAAGGGAGAAAGGAGAAAGTGGAAGCCACTCTGGGAACTTAGGAGGGAGGAGGCTGGGAGGAAGGTGTGGTCTGTGATGTCCTAGCTCATCCTCTCAGCAAGGGTCCCAAAGCTCTGCCTGCCCTTGAAATTTCAGAAGTTAACTGTGCTAACAAGGGACAAAATGACTGAATACAGGAATCAGCAACACATTTTATTATTTTATCATTATATTATGCTCCTATAATACAGAACTATAGTGCTTCAGACTCCTTGTAATGTTTTAAACACTGCGCTCAAATGGAAAGACTTGACTTTGTTGTCTTCCTTATGGGAAAATCAAATTATTTTTCTGGCTCTCAAAGGGATAGTCTATTTGAACTAAGGTACAATGTACACAATCACAAAAAATAT